TCATAATCACGCACGCACGCTTTTGACAATATTTGTCAAATTATTCCTAAGGGTCAATAACTCTATAAAGATTTGGCCATGGGCTCGTCTAGGAGATAAGTGGTAGCCAGGGTTTGTGCGATAAAGCTTAACATGTTTAGAAGCGTGTTAGAAAAGCGTTGAAATAAAACAATAATATTTTTAACACAAAGACGTTTTCTTATTCACTTTTATAACTTACGTAAGAATTTTTAACGAGATTCATTCCATTCGGTTTAGAAATACAAATAAATAATAAGAGTTATTTTCAGATAATATAGTTCAATCAATCAATCAATCATACCAGATGAGCCACGTTGACAGTCTGTTGTCAAGTGGACTTTAAAAAAATTGATTATAGCATAATTACAAATAACCTATTCTGGATTGAAAGTTAACAAAATAGAGAAACACAAAAATTTTCAAATACTATGAATTGATTTATATTATGTGAATCTAATTAGATAAAAAAACAAAAATGATAATATAAATCACAAGTTATCTTCTTATTTTCAGTTTGCCTTTTTTTCTTAAATTCTAATTGTTCATTATTATTTGTAAAAAAAATCATTATTGAGTATCAGCATATAGTTTAGAACCCTGCAGCTTTGATTAGACTATGAAAAAATACTAGAAATTACTTTTTAAAAGGATAGTTCCTACTCACAGTAAGTTGTTTTGCAACGATCCGGATTTCGAGCCTTTTAGCTCATCATCAGGTTGAAAGACTTCTACAACCACGTCTCTCGACATGAATTGCCAAAGTGAACCGCTGATACCTCCGCCAACGCGACGTTCCAATTATCAGCTGATTTTTTTAATGACGCTCAATTTGAACGTGCGAAACGCGGAAATTATAACACAAATAAATATTAGAATAATAAATACTTAATATTACTATAAATTACTATAAAAATAATAACAATTAAAATAATTAGATTAATTATTTGGATGTTTGATATTATTTATGTACATATTTAAAATGGGAGGTAGATCAAAATCTGTTATATTATTAATGCATTTATCACCATGTTCAATTTTACATTTTTTAATTTCAAATTTCTCAAACCAATCTAGTTCTTTCCCTTTGTTGAAACTATGTAACACTCTTGTATTCAAATTTGAATCGAAATTATGTTTTGTTTCTTTTAGATGGTCCTTAAATTCTGAAAATTTGCTCGATTTAGGCAAGTGTTCTTTTACTCTTGTTTTTATTTCTCTACCGCTTTGTCCTATATATTTAATATCACAATCATTACAATTGAGTTGGTAAACCCCACTTTTTGCCAAGTTGTCTTGTTATCCAATTAATTTGTTCTTTGATTTGAAAAGATTTTTTTCAAAATTATCCATGAATATTTTAGCACAAAGTGGGGATAATGGAGACCCCATTGGTAACCCTTTCATTTCGTACGTGAATGAAAGCATAAAAAAGTAATTTTTATTACATGGCATTTACAGTAGTGTGCATATAGATATAGTGTATTCCATTTTTTGTATATTCTTGCACTGTGAAAGATTAAAAAAAAACATAATTTTTTATTCTGGAATAATGAAATTTAGGGATAAACCAAAGAATACGTAAAAAAAGATATTCACGTTTAAAAAAATCAAATTTTCGAGGCGATTTGATTAGTTTTCCAATATAAAGTAAGTAATATAATTGGAGTAAAGCAGTCTGAATTACAGCATCAAATTTATTCAACGAAAGCCTTAAAAGTTCCGTGGAATGTTTTATTTAATTAGTCGGCTATTTTTGCTAATACGTATAACACGTCCAACTTTTTAAGGTTTCAAAACAAAACAAACTTATTAGAGAAATAGTTACTTTGTTCGTATAATTAGGCACGCTCATTTGCACATTAACCAAATTCAATTTTAACTTTAATTAATTAGTTTATAGTTCCAGCAGGTTCTGTTTACATTTTGTTTTTAATATTGCCCTACTTAATAATTATGAAACAGTACTTCTTGTGAGAAAATCAATACTCTTAGTCAGGATTTGTGAACAAATGAAAATATACTTGCATATCGTTGACCCTTTTTCAATTTTTTTCAACCAACAGTACCAAAAATGTATAGCAATATGAATGACGATTATTTATCTGTCAATAACAGGTTTGTTAAGCCGTCAATCATCCAGGTGACATTTAATGTTGAACAAAATTTACAAGATTTAACAGTTCAAACGCTGATGGGATTTCTCCGAAAAGGGTCGAAACTGATAAAAAATCAAAAAGCATTTTATTTCAATCATGCCTTATAAAATAGTGACTAATCAGTCTAATAATTTAAAATTTAATTTGCACTACAAAAAAAAAAGGATGTCCTACGAATTTTGTTTTTGTTTATACAGTCGAGGGTAAAAGGGTTAACGAGGATTCAACGATTTACATTTATTAAGTTGTTTTTGGTTTTCGTTTTTTCAATCTAATTAATATACAGACGTTTAAATGATTTATTAGTTTTTTGTATTAAAAGTAGCACAATTTTTACAAGGTTAGTTAATGGTAATAACAAATCAAATTTTAATGGTGTTCTACTCTCTTTCTTAATAAAAATAGATGCATCCTAAGGAATCAGTTGCGTGAAATAATTTTTCCATGCCATATATATGNTATTACCATTTTTAAATTTTTTTCTTACAAAATTCAGTGGGAAAAACTGTAAAAAACCAACTTACAAATAAATATTTTATCAATTTACCGAAACTCGAAAAAAAATGAAACGCGAATGGATATATACAGTAGGTTTAGCTGATAAAAACTGAAATATATGCATACATAAATATCATAAAAATCAATCTATAAGAAGGAATCAACAAATAAATAAATAACTTTTATTTGTTAATTTGGATTTTGAAGCTTTATTTACTTAGATATAGTGTACAATTAAAGTGCAAAAGTTAATACACACGGAAATTGGGATAGTTTTATGTACGTGCTATATTTATTCAGATATCGTGAGATGCGGTCGGGAGTGATGTAGGTTTCAAAAACCTACCTTTTGAAACCTACATCACTCCCGACCGCATCTCACGATATCTGAATAACTATCGATTAACGGTCACTAATCTCTACACATTTCTACGTTCTATATTTTGAATTATCATAAAAGCAGAAATATTGCGAAAATCTTATAAAACAAAAACTCAATTTTTTCAATCATTAGATATTTATTGTTTGTCTTGGATTTGATTTGATTTGCACTTACAAGTTTACTATTATTAACTTTCACAAAGGTTTCATTTTGTTTTCCAATAAATGTAACCAATGACATTATTATCTTATATTTAGCTGGCTTGGTTAAAGAATATTTAAACTTTATATTATAAGGAATTATATAATAATATAAAACGTACACTCACAACGTCGTCATTTTAAATTTTTCATTTTGTTGGAACATCAAAAAAGATTTTTTATTCCATTAAACTCAGCTGTTCTATGTAATAGGTTTATAAAGCAGAATATTACTAAGTTTGATTTGGAAAAAATATATATTATCATATTGTTGAATAGTTTTGTTGTCATTAGTCTTAGACAAAATATTGCCCTTTGTCCTTTTGAAATGAATGTAAACCGTTAAATATGTATCTGTATTTGTCCAGGTTTAGATAGTTATATTAGAGCATTATTTTTCTGATATCCTTATATGTTTGAAGTATAATATTAATGTTAGAACGTAGTAACATTGGGAACGATTCCATTTTTTCTAAAAAATAAAACCTTTGACGTTCTTCTCCATATTTGGATTGTTTTGTTATAGGACTATTTTTAAAGTGTGCTTTAAAAGGAATAAATACACAAAATATGTTTTTTCATTACTTCATCATACTTATTTTTTGTGGTTAGTACAATTAAATCAATGGTTTTATAAATACATGTAATAATATCATATATCAGTTGGTTTCAGTTTCAACACCTTATTTTTCATAACACAACTATGTAGTAATTTCAAATTAAAAATAGAATTAGCTTGAAATTTATCATTTTATGTACAATATTTTGACTCACAGATTTAGTGACATATTTTTCAGCAAGTTTTGTTATGTTACTATTCGTTGAAAAAATATTTCTTTGCTATCTTTTGAAATGAAAGTACAATTTACTAATAAGTAATCATATATGTCTCCATATTTGGTTAGTTCGAATGTACATTCAATATACCAAAGTTATAACATCTTTTATAGAAAACGACAAAAATAGAATTTTTATTCAAACTAACCAAATATGTAGACAAATATGATGACTTATTGGTAAATTTTACTTTCATTTCAAAAGATAGCAAACAAATATTTTTTCAATGAATAGTAACAACAAAATTTGCTGAAAAATTGTCACTAAATCTCTGAGTCAAAACATTGTACATAAAATGATAAATTTCTAACTAACCTAATTTAAAACTAACCAAATAACTACCAAAACAGTAGTACTACTATAAAAATGAAAACAAGAAATACGACTTCAATGCATATATTATTTTCTGCCTATTAATGTTTTCAATTAGCAATGTAATCTGTTTTAATTTTGTTCTAATAAATGTAACTTACGACTTTTTTTTTTTCATTTCAATATATATGGAAACACAGCTTTTGTATAGTGAATTTAGAACTATCAAAATGAAAACAAAAAATGCAACATAAATGCATATATTTATAAGAATAATTTGGCATAAAATAGCCTAATCACCTAATTTATTAATATGTTATGTTATGGCGCTAGCATAATTTCTGAAAGTCACCTACTTCGTTGGTTTGAAATGAAAGTAAAAGTAAATTATTCTCATTGGTTTTATGGGCTTATAAAAAGCTTTTCCTCGACTTTACTGGGTTTTCGCATAAAATAAGTGTTGCACAAATTGAGCCACCGATTAATTCAATAGAAGTCGTAAAAGTCTCTCAGGGCGCGTTAATTAATTAGTCAGCCTTTGACATCGATCTATCGTTGGCGGATCTATAAAGAGGAGGATTAGCATGGTTTTACCTTGTATTTCGTTTAATCCTTTCTCGTAGTAGGTACAAACGTTTTCACCAACACAGCACGAGTTCACTCACAGTCACCGTGGGTTCTACTAAAAATAAACAAAACAGAGCCCGCGGCCCTTGGCCCCCACTACGGCCGCCCCCTTCCATAGCCTTGCCATTAAAAGGCCCGAACGTGGATCTCACGACACGCTGCACCCTGTATAATCCAGAGAACGATGTAGGAAAGGCATCTCCGGTCTAGACGGACGGGTATTTCCGGCTTCTCGCCCTCTTTTTATAAATACTCCTAGGGGATTATCGGGTCCCGGCCAGTTAATTCTTTTGAGGAAAGGGAAATAAATCAAACTATTTATTTTTAGAGAAAAAACCATCTTTTCCAGCTTTAAATAAACATCAACCAGTGTGAAATTTTTATAATGAAAATAATGTTTGAGTTTCGACAAGAAATTAATATAGGATTTTTCTTTTGTGTGATTCCAAAAAGGTCGAGCGGAAAGACAAATGAATCCCTACGAATCTCCACTGAGGGCCGGACTTGGCACAAAGATCGCCCAGCACATTTCGTGGGATTGGACCGAATCATTTATTATAAATGAAACACCATTTCAATCGAGCACTATTCCTAACCGGGCCGGTTGGAAGCTCCTATCGAAACAAATTGGCCCTTGCCGACGGCAATGCATCAACAGTGACGAAGGAAGAAGTAAAAATCGCCGGGATTTTTCGGACTAAAAGAGAAAGGTTTTTGGAAGACTAAAAAACTTGGCATAAATAAACGACGACCATGATTGAGACAAATTAGAAAGAAACACTCAATTCCATCGCCAGCGTTCAATGATTATGTACCTTCATTAGGACTATCATCAACTTACATGCTTGACTTTTTTGCGCATATATTTATAATCTGATATACTATTGTTTCACCTATCGTACAATGAAATAAAATACTAAACCAGATCCAACTTAATCCGTAAATTTTATAACAAAACTATGTACGGAAGATATATGAAAAATTTTGGTTTAATATAAACACAGGTTTCACAATCATTCGAATATTTTAAGCATTCTACAATGTTCTTCTGTCCTTTTCTAACGTAAAATTCTAGCAAAGCACTAACAGTGATGGTATGGAAGAGAAAAAACGTGGAATGATGTAAACAGAGGCAAAGTTTTAGAATAATAGTCAATTATATGATAGATAGTGCTAGAATTAAAAATCGAATAATAAAAGAATAATAAAATCAAAACGAAATTTTATATAATTACGTTTCGAAATTAACAAATGTACTTCAAATTTTTACTTAATGATGAACCTAATATCATACCTTAATGACTATGTTTGTTTATTAATAAGTGATAATACAAAACAAAAAATGTACAGGTAACCCCAGGACTACTTCAAGGTGACTCAGTCAGACCGACTTAGTTTAACCTTTTATCCACGGAGCGCAGTAAACGGGTGTCCAAGTGGGCGGGTATGGGTTCAATTCCCCCAACGTAAGGCCATTCAAAAAAATAAAAAAAAAAAAAAAACAGATATACAAGGCTATCCATTATGTCGCGGGTCAGAAAAACATAGATGTGCTTTCTTTTGGGACGTTTATCTAAGACAAAAAAAATTGGTTTTACTGATTTAAAATGTTAGCTGTATTTCAACACAGTACTTAATTAAATTATATAGATTTCTTATAGCATCGACTAGTGTTTCACCAAGAAGGAGAAGTCCAAACATTTGTGGGGAACTGTGTTCAATGGACCCTCTAGCTCCAAGAACAAAAAGGAATTTGCAATTTTTTAAAAATAATTTGTTTTGCTCGTTTTGAGCCTAGTGATGGTGATAATCAACCAAGTACAAACAGATGTTGATGTTATGGAGGTCACAGATATGGTCTTTTTAACAATGAATTACTTTTATAGCTTTATCAAGCTTTCCATCTTTTATTGGATATTCATCAGGGCTTTACAGCAATTATATTAAAAAATAATAATTTAAAACTGGGCGATGAATATTTCATTTATAAATATAAATAAATAACTATGTTGGCGTATAGTTACCATGCCATCATGGTAAAGTATGCAATATGTTGAGGAACAATGGCTATCCAATATCCTCTCATCAAACGCTTATGGAAGGGGGGGCGTCGGAGGCCGGAACAGTTTAGGCGTTGACACGGCGCTCATTACTGTACGGTAAAGGTCCCGGGTTCGAATGCAGGGCCGCTGGATTTGACCCCGACATTCTTACAAATGAGCTTTTTTTCAAAACCGCCGGCACCCTGAGAGTTTATATAACCTCTGCTGTTGAGAACCCTCGTAAAAAAATAATCCATTTAAAAATTATATGTTTGATCTGTTTGGTCATTCTGTAATATATCGCAAGTTGAGTTTATTACTAATGCTGAGGGAATTTTAAAGTATCTGCACCTGGTCTAAAAACAGATCTTCGTAAAAAAGTTTTGTTAAACCATAATAAATAACTTTTTTTTATTTATTTTGAAGTTATCTGACAATTCATAAGCAATTCATAATTCATTCAAAAAATAATCTTATTATCCAAAGATAACAAGGTAACCAAAATAGTAGTTTTCCGGGCATATTAAAGAAGTTCTCACTTATTACCTTAGTAAGTGGGTTGACAAACAAACTAAAACGCTTCTTAAATACGAATATACCAGATGTGAAAATAATGCACAAATTTAATAATAAGATTGAAAAACAATTTTCTCTAAATTAAAAAGTGTTTAACTATTAGGCAAAAACTGCAATGTTATATAACATTTACAATATCAAAATTGTCATAAGGGCAAACAAAACAGTACCTATCCGAAAAACATAGGTAACGTGGATATGACTGCAAAGAAAATACCTTTGATGTCTAAGGTGTGAAATTAATGACAGAATCTGTTCTAGGACGAAGGCTATTAAAAGAAATTATAAGGTAAGCATTGCCTGTCAATGATTTGGCGGGAGTAAAGGTGCGAGTTTTGACAAGGGGCGTATTAAGGAAGTGTGAGGAGTCTTGATTTTGAAACCCAAGTTTCTTGTTTCTTTAATGTCATCACACAGCCCTTCAACTTCGTTCGCACACTCTTCAAATCGGATCTCCATCACCTTCATAGAGATCGGCATGATTGGTGAGGTTATGGAAATTTAAAATTGAAAAATAAATGAGATGCAATAAACTACAATCCGGCCCGGAGGACCATTAAATGTGTGAGCAAAGGCGACCCAACTCAATTGAGGATAATCCCTCACTCTGAAACACAAAATTTTCTCTAGAATCCGCTAAATATCAATTTTTTCCAGATTGCAGTTCATCAGCATCTCACATGTAATGAAAAAAAAATGGAAAATTCAATCCTTATAATTCCTTAACACTTACCAGCCCACAACACTTGTAAGTCAATTACAATTCAATTAATGTAAATGTTTAAATAAATGACAATAAGGCGATATTTTAAAATCAATTATAATTGTACAAGAATCGAAGAATTAAATTTAAATTTTATACGAACGAAATAAAATAAATATAAAATAAGTTTACAGTTTTAATAAAAACAAAGAGAGAAAAAACAAACATAAATTGCCTAAAGCGAAAAACTCACGGGTGAGGTCAGCGAGTGGAGCGGCGAGTCACAAACAAATGCGGAGAAATCGACACGCACAAAAAACGGTCGCGAATAAATTGCGGATATAACTCGTACACAAAGTCTTTGAGCTTGCGGCTTGCGGGACTGCTTCGAACACGTGCGGTAGCGAAGAAGAGTCTCTGGTCCTCGTAGTCAAACGCGTCTCCAACAACAAAACCCGTCACTTCACGGCCTTTTAGGTACGCGACGTACAGATCACAAAAATTCACACTTAACAACAATAATTACATGTAACTTATACTAATTATTTTTAAAACAAAAAATATACAATATATACAAAATATAGACTAGAACAATTCATACTTTGGCCTAAGATAGCTGACTCCAGTCTTGTTGTTTTTAATTATGTATGTATAATTTATTGCAATTATATGTTTATGCATTAATTGTATATTGTTTATTATATTTATATTTATTTGTTTTGAAATACTTTGATTGAATCAAAAATTTTCTAGTATTGGATAAATTCATATTATTTAATATAAAATTTTCTAACATTGTATAAATTAATTTTTTTTATCTAAAATTTTCTCGCATTGTATAAATTCATTTTTTTCAAATCCTACATATATTTGTAAAATTGAAACAATGTTTATGAATCCCAAGTTCTGAAGATGATCTCAATAAAGATCGAAACGTTGCATGATAAACAATATGTTTTTTCTACACGATCTCAGAATAATAATTTATTTGTTTTTATTGTTTGATTTTTATTTTTATAACCTCTATGCTTATAATATATTGATTGTAGTTATGCCCTGTTGAGAAAACAAAGGTAACAGTATTTTTACCTATCTATAAAACGTTTCCTCACACATGTACGTGGCATTAATTTATTATATTATAAATGACTTTTAAAATCAGAATAGCATTAAATGTTTCTGTTTTCATGTATTATGATCACGTCTAACGAGGAGGAATTTTACCAACGTAATTATTTATTATTTATTATAACGTAGTTATTTCTTTAGATTTATTAACGAAATATTCTTCCGTCCAGTTTTTAATTAATTTTTGCTAATATAATTGTTTAAAGTTTTGATGAAGATCATGTAAAGGAAGCTCAGCAAAATTATAATTAGTAATTCATTGTTAAAAAGATCACACCCCTGATCTTCACATCAACATTTTTGTACATGTTCCTAGGTGTGAAACGCATAAATGGTCAAGGTTTTATCCATGGTGAAGATTGGAAATTCCCCATCCAGTACTTTTTTGGAGTGTTGATAGACTGGAATCTGGTAAAAAATTACTTTAGCGGATTCTTGAGAACTGGGAGAGTGAAGGATTACCATCAATTGCGGTGGGTCACCCTTTCTCCCACAATTCCAATGGGTATTTGTACACTTTTTTTTCCCTTATTTTATTTAACAGCCTGCTATCTTTAATATTACAGGCTTTTACAATTATAAAAAGTAAGATATGATTTTTAAATTACCAC